AGTGGAGGGGAGGGAGCTCTCTGTGGCCTCTTTGTAAGGGCACTAATCCCATTCATGAGAGCAGAGCCCTCACGACCTACTCACCTCCCAAGGCCCCACGGTTACATGAGGGGTAGGATTTCACCATATGAGGGGGGTGGGGAGGAATGAACGCTCAGTCCATTGCAGGGACCCCCTCACGTTCATGCTCACAGTTCCCTTTCTCTCCCCACAACCACTTTCCAGACCCGAAGCATCCCATTAACCTCCCTGTTATGTGGGTACAGGTTAGGCCAGTGATTCGAGGACCTGCACACATATCAGGAAGGCTTGTTACACAGGGCGTGGCCCCACCCCAAGGGCTTCTGGCCCGGCAGGTCTGGGCTGGGGAGGCCTTAGAATTTGCATTTCTAACACGATGCCCGGTGACGCCGATGCTGCGGGTCCCAGGGCCGCATTTTGAGAACCACTGCCTTAGAGTCATGGCCAATCCTAAATGCCTAAGCCGGGGTTTGACCCACCTGGAGCACATCCCCCCTGCCAGGACTCCAGGGCCCCATCTGCATGATGGGGTGCACCTGGCATTCTGGGAGGGCCGCCCCCCACTCCATCTCACCTGCCTGCCCTCCTGCCAGGTGCTGGACGTAATACCCCCTTATGGGCCCAGGCATGGCTGGCTGGCTTTGTAGCTTCGCCTGCCAGGGCTCTGCGGAGAGCTGGTCGCCATCCTGTCCACTGCCATCTGCCTGCTGTGCACCTGGTGTGCATTCATTCATAGGTCAAGTTCAGATGCTTTGTCACACTCCTTGCAAAGCAGGATGATCAGAGCAGACACCTGGTGTGGCCATGACCTGGCCATCAATCTATAATCTAACAAGCCCCCAGGGCAGTGGTCAGCAAATTTTGGCTCGCGAGCCACATGCGGCTCTTTGGCCCCTTGAGTGTGGCTCTTCCACAAAATACCGCTCTTCCACAAAATACCGACTTCTGCGCATGAGCCACAAAGTTTCAATCGCAGTAGGTCAAGTTCAGATGCTTTGTCACACTCCTTGCGAAGCAGGATGATCAGAGCAGACACCTGGTGTGGCCGTGACCTGGCCATCAATTTACAATCTAACATGCCCCCAGGGCAGTGGTCGGCAAACCGAGGCTCTCGAGCCACATGCGGCTCTTTGGCCCCTTGAGTGTGGCTCTTCCACAAAATACCGCTCTTCCACAAAATACCGACTTCTGCGCATGAGCCACAAAGTTTCAATCGCACTGTACGTGCGCGCCTGCACATGGTATTTCGTGGAAGAGCCATACTCAAGGGGCCAAAGAGCCGCATGTGGCTCGCGAGCCGCGGTTTGCCGACCACGGCCCCAGGGCGTTCTGATGCAGACGGAGCTCCAAACACAGGCAAGAAATACTGGGTGTCAGAATGTCAAAAAGGAGAAAACCTGGTCCACGTTGGCCTGGTCTTCAGCCTGGAAGGATGTTGGAAGCATGAAAGCAACAGAGTGACACCTGAAAATAATTTGATCACAAAAAAATTAAAAATACATCTACTGCCCGGCCAGCCTGGCTCCGTGGTTGAGCCTCAACCTCTAAACCAGGAGGTTACAGTTTGATTCCTGGTCAGGGCACATGCCTGGGTTTCGGATTCAATCCCCAGTGTGAGGCGTGCAGGAGGTAGCTGATCAATGATTCTCATCATTGATGTTTCTCCCTCTCCCTTTCTGAAATTAATAAAAATATTTTTAAAAAACTACATCTACCTCAGAACACATCAAAATATTTAAAGACAATAAACTGGGGGAAATGTTGAGAAAGGTGAAAAAGGAACAATTTTTGATATTTTAAAAACTCTTACAAAGAAAAATATTGACACCAATTGTTCCTATTTAACAAATCACAAAATAGGTAAAAATGGCCTATAAACATGAAACATATTTCAGGTCACTAAAAATAAAAACCATATCATTTCTTCCCCCCTAAAATGCTTAAGCTAGTGCGCTACTGCTTGTAATTTAGGCTCACAGACACTGCGCTGCTCTCTGCAGAATAAACTCTCCGGAAAGCAACTTGATAGGTCTCAAGAGGCTTAAAATGTTTATGTCCTTTGGTTTAGTAATTCTAGGTCAAGAAATTTAAGTTAATAAAGCCAGAGCTAGTTGGTTCCAAATGGCAGCAAGCCCAACTCAACTGGGCTTAAGCCAAAAAGAGAATGCGTTGAATTTTAACATGGAAAGGCTAGGATTCCAGCTTGAGGCACAGGCTCATCAGGGGCTCATTGTCCGCAGAATCCAGTCCGCCTTTGTCTCTGGCCTCTGCTCTCGGCATGTGGGCTTCATTCTCACGCTCCGCTTTAACAAGCTGACCAACCACCTTGGCCTGGAAGTCAGAGGAAAAGAGAGAATGTCTCTTCCCAGTAGGCCCCGGGGCAAGTCCCAGGGTTCGTTCTGATTGGATCACCTTGGGTCATGTGGCTCCCTTTAAACAAATTCCTGATTGGCCAGGCCTAGGCTACTGAGTCCATTCTAACCGATCTCTATAATTAGGGGGGATTCCATGCTCTGATTGTCCAGACCTGGGTCAAATTTTTATTTGAGTTTTATTGAGGTGGCTAGAAGCTAGTCCCCTGGAGCTGGTGGTGGGTGCCGCATGATTGAAAGAAGGGGACAGGTGTGGTTCCCCAAAGGGAAATCAAGCTACTGTCATCAGAGGGAGGTGGGGCCTGGATCTGAGCCAACAAAAGCAAGAATGTTTGTCACAGATGCAACCAAGTGGCTGTACGGAGATGTCCACCACATTGTTATTGATAGTAGCCAAATTGGAAACAACCTAAATATCTCAGAGGAAGAGTTTAGTCAATGATGCCCAAACGTTGTGATTTTATAATTCGGCAGCCATTAGATTACAAGTCCAAAAATATTTGATGTAAAACAAAATAGGATGTAAAGCAAAGTGAAATAAGCAGGGTTTTTTGTTTGTTTTTTTAAGTAGACTATAAAGAAATACACATTAGTAGTTACGAATAGTCACGGAGATGTAAAGTACAGCATAGAGAATATAGTCAATAATGTTGTAATAACTACGTATGGTGCCAGGTGGGTACTAGACTTATGAGGTGGGGGTGAGAAGTCACTTTGTAAATTATATAAATATATAACCACTTATGCTGTACACTTGTGCAAAATAATATTGAATGTCAACTGTAATTGAAAAATAAAATAAATTTTAAATTAAACACAGATGAAAAATTCCGGTTGTCTACATAGGATGGTTTAACTAAGTCAAGTTCAGTTTCTTTACAATTATTGCTCTGTCGTGTTGGTACTATTTAAATGAAGGAATATAGAGTACAATGGGGCTGGAGACATTGTAGGCTGGAATGATTCCAAATCATTATAAACTTACTCTAAAAAAAAAAAGTAGACTATAAACCCAGTTTGGTAAAGAAAATATCCTATATAATAGAAAGGCTAATATGCAAATCAATTGAACGGCGGAACAACCGGTCACTATGATGCGCACTGACCACCAGAGGGCAGACGCTCAACACAGGAGCTGCCCCCTGGTGGTCAGTGCGCCAGAAGCCGGGCTCATGGCTGGCAAGCACAGTGACAGTGGCAGTGACGGGATCCTTTTCTGCCTCCGTGGCAGTGCTAAGGATGTCTGACTGACAGCCTAAGTCAGCAGTCGGACATCCCCTGAGGGCTCCTGGACTGCAAGAGGACACAGGCTTGCATCTCCTGGCTCCTGGACTGCAAGAGGACACAGGCTGGGCTGAGGGACACCCCCTCCCCCAAGTGTACGAATTTCATGCACTGGGCCTCTAGTAAATATATATAAAATAAAGAGGGAAAAACACTAAAGCAGTGCTTCTAAGTGGGAGGAGCCTGACCCTGGGGAGGAGTGGGGAGCATTAGATCCACCTAGTGGGGTAGATTGAAATAGTGGTCCCAAGTCTCCACCCCCTTATGGCAGCATCTACATCCACATTCTTGCCAGAGGCTCCTGGTGGACAGATATTCCTCTCCACCTCTTGACTTTGGGTTGGCCATGCGACTTGCTTTGACAAGTAGAATGATAGTGGATTATGACTGGAGCAGAGGCTTAAAACATGATTGTGCAGTGGGGCTTGTCACTGTGAGCTTAGTCACAAGCCTCAGAAAGCCCCTATCCACCCCTCACCCCCCACCCCCAGGTGCCAAAGGAATGAGAGCCACATGAAGCAGATAGGGACCTGCCTAAAGTGTGGATCCACCAAAATCATTCAGTTTTCAGCCAACCCACAGAGCCCTGAGTGAGAAATAAATGCCTATCATTGTAAGCCAGTGACGTTCGAGCTTGTTTGTTACACAGTGTTATAGCGATAGCTGTCTGATACACCTGCACACCAAATTCCACATTGCAACCCCAGAGTCACTATCCTTTGGGGCCCAGTCCACCCGATGGGCATGACATGTGTCCCGAGGAATGCTGGGATGTAGAAAAGGAGCTAAGAACTCTGTTCTGCCATATTAACAGAGGTTAGTTCTAGATTGTGGGATCCTAATTTTTTACTTTTTCCTTATACTTTCATATGTTTTCCAAAGTTTCTGTAATGAGCATGCTGAACATTTATAACCAGAAAGAAACACATTCTTCAAAAATTGGAAAGAAATTTTTCTTGGCACCTCACGGATCCTAACCTTTGGTGGCCCCAAGAACAAAGCTGATTACCGAGTCCTCACCCACAGGACTGTCTTCAGGTCTCTGAAGACCGATGCTTGGCCCCCTGCATACTGTCCTGTCTCCACGCTTGGCGCTCTGCTTCCTTGAACGTGGCTCCACTCTCTGAACGGGGCTCCCTTCGTCTCTAGCCTCATACCATGGTGTCCCAATCTGGGTTCCACTCTCCAGGCAAGGACATTGGCCAGACAGGAATGACAGCAAACATCTGGAAGAGGCTTCCTTGCTGCAGCCCCAGCTGTGAAGGCGCGGGGCATTCCAGCCTGCCTCCCAGCCCCTCACCCCGGAGCCCCGCCCGGCCCGGCCCTGCCCTGCCCTTGGCCCAGGAATGGCCAGGCTGCTGTGAGGCTGGTGCTCTGAGGCTGTCAGCCCATAGGGACGTCTCAAATGTCTTCAAACGCCAACTGCCTGGCCCTGGTTTGCCCCCTTGCTCTTACTAGGCGGCTCCAGAAGATGCTGCAAGGTTCCTGAGCCCTTTGGTGCCAAAGCTCACTTGTCCCTGGCTGCCAGCTGCCTGGGTTCCCTGCACGATTCAGTGCTGAGTGAGGCGCTGCATTCAGAATCCAGAGGAGGGAGCCCTGGGTCCCAGCTGCACTGTGGACGGAAACGTGAGGCCGGAGCTGCGTCTCCTTGGCCACCCTCCTCGGCCTCGCACAGAGCAGGTGCTCTGTGTTGGACCAGGGGGTGCATGTGAGTGAATCAGAAGAGTTGGGCTCCTGATGGCTGTCCCCATGGGGGGGAACTTCTCAAGGTGGCTCAGGATGCTGCTCACGGACCCCTGTGCTCATCAAGTGCTCCCGGCAACCATGAGCTGGAAAGTGTCGTTTCCCTGGCTCCGTATTTCAGAGGGGAGCTGAAGCTCAGTAGGGTCAGGTGGCTTGAGCGGGGATATCATGCAGGCCCATTGGCTCCAATGGAACCCTGTCACTGTAACTGGGAACGGTTTGCTGGTAAAAGGAACCATACGAACAAGAGGCAACGTGCATCGGGCACTTGCTGTGTGCGGGAACCTCGCTGAGCTTGTCGTCACTCATGCAGCCTTCACACCACCCTGCCAGCGACTCTCCCCTTGTCCCTAAGAGGAAATGGGGCTCAAAGAGGTTAAAGGCTTACCGAGGTGGCACAGCCCAGGAGCCAGGCCTGTCTGTCTCCTTTCAGAGTAGCACAGGCATGAATCATGAACCACAGGCAGGAGTCGATGGCTCAAGTTCAAATCTGCGCAACAGTTCCCAGAAGGAACGAGTTGGAAGGTGCTGCTGCAGATCCCGGCTACTCAGTGTCATCCGGGGAACTGCATGGGGGCAGCACCTGGGAGCTGGTGAGAAGGCAGAAGCTGCATTTAACAAGACCCCTGGGGGACCCATGGGCACAGGAAGGCACTGGTCTAATTTGCTCTGAGGTAAGCAGGAGGGTGCGGCTTCTAAGGATACACCTGCACACCAAATTCCGCCAGGAATTGCCCAAATGGAGAAGAATCCAGTTCTTCTAATGGCCCCAATGACCCCACCTTCTGTGTTTACAGAAATATTCCCCTCCCCTTGAGTGTGGGCTGGACTAGTGACTTGTTTGTGATGAAGAGAGTACAACAGAAGTGATGCAATGTTATTTCTGAGATCAAGTTAACAAAGACCATGCTTGACCTCCCTTCTCTCTCTCTCTCTCTCTCTCTCTCTCTCTCTCTCTCTCTCTCTCTCTCTCTCTCTCTCTCCCCCCCCCCTTGTGAGCTGATGTATGGAGATGTCCCATACGGCAAGGAGCTGAGGGAGGCCTTCGGCCAACAGCAGTGTGAGTGAGCTTGGAAGTGGATTCTTCTCCAGTTGAGCCTTCAGATGAAACCACAGCCCTGGCTGAAGGCTGGATTGAAGCCTTGTAGAGACAGCCTGAGCCAGAGGACCCAGCTAAGCCATGTCCAGATTGCTGACCCGTAGGAATAATAAGGAGGTGATATATGTTCATTGTTTTATGCTGCTAAATTGTAGGGCACACTCAGGACCCTGTGCAGCCCTCGGTGGGAGCTCAGGTGGTAACTGGCCGGGCATCACAGAGGTCATGTACCTGCCCCAGGTGTGTAGCTAGGACACCTTCCAGTCTTCAGGAGGTGAGGCTGGGGCTGGACCAGGCAGCTCTCTCCAGCCCCATCCCTAAATGTCCTCTGCCCCCCTAACCCCATCCCTAAATGTCCTCTGCTTTTTCCTTTCATGGAAGCCAGAGTGTTCCCTGCCCAGCCCAGGAACCTGCATGTGGTACAAGCACTTGCTATGTGAGCTGAAGAGATTTTAGCTTTTAAACCCGGGCCTGGAGGAGCCCACAAATGGGCAGCTGGCTGGGGAACTGGCCCATCCTGGACCCTCGAGGGGCTGTGGGTCTGGTTTCCACCGAAAAGGGAGCAGTGACATGGTGTAGCTGAGCCTTGTGAGATGATTTCTCTTCCACCTTTTCTTGTCTCACATTTGAAAAGCTGGACCAGCCTGGTATGCGGCCTGGCATGCGGCTGGCTCTGAGGGGACCTTCTCTGAGGGTACAAGAAATACCGCATTCCTTTTGGTTTCCCCGCTAACATTACCTCTCACTGCGTGTCCCATCTCCCTGGGCTGGTGGAAAATTAAAGCTCCATCATCTGGGGGCTCCCTCCCCATCCTCCCTCTCCCTGTTGGGGTGTGTGGCCCTGGGCAGCTGGCCCAGGGAGAGCCCTGGAGGTTACGTCCTCACTGGACGGAAGCTGAGCGGGGGCAGCGGTGTTTGTCATTTTGTGCACAGATGTGCACAGTCAGTGCCCGTCACACGACCATGTGCATAAGTCTCTGTCGAATGAGCCATCTTTGGTCCTGTCGCTACACCACTGTACACAGCAAGAGCAGCGTGGACTTTTTGGGCACCGTGGGCAACCCAGTGTGGAGTCACGGTCAGCCGCGACAGTCGTGTCAAGTGCTATGTCAAGACTGAGGTGATGGGGTGCAACGGGAACGCCCTTAGGAGGGGTCCGGAAGGCCCCAAACCAGAAGTCTGGACTCTCAGATAAGGACTCCACTGAGCACCGACCTGAGTGGGACCTCCACCCCCGGGGCTGTAAGAACTCAGAGCTCCGACCACCTGCGGCTCGCGCTGGGCTGTACCCCGGGTCACACTCAGAGTCCAGCCGGGCTTCCACTCCCCTGGACGCGGTCGCCACTGCAGGCACCTGGCTTGAGACCAACGCCTGTCTCTCCACCTGCAGACGCCTCCAGTGTCCCGCTCTGCTGAGCTCCCCCTCTGTGTGTAACTGCATGTGCCTGGATTGGCTAATGGGGGAGTCTCCCTAATAAACCTGGCATTGTGGGAAGACACCTGGGAGTGACTCCTTCCGGGACGCTCCCTCGCTCACGACAACCACTCACCCAAACGTACAGGTGCCTGGGAGGGAGGGGCAACCGGTCTTCATAGGGCCAGGTGCTGAGTTCCCTGGGCAGTGCAGGCCTTTTTCCTCCTGGTCCTAAGGTGCCCGGGGATCGAGGAGAGAGCTGGGAGTGCCCCTGTTCCAGGACACCTGCTTTCACCCCTTCCCCAATTCCAGGAAGTTCTTCCTATTCAGCCAGACCCATCTCCCCTGTTCTCCAGTCCCCAAGTCCCATTGTTCTTCCCAGAAAGATCTTTTCTCAAAAATAAAAGCCTCGTTTGCAACCTTGCCCCTGGGGGGTGGGAGCCAAGGCAGCCCACCGGCCTCAGGGCTGGTCCATAGCTCTGCTCCCTGAGGGTGTGTGTGTGTGTGTGTGTGTGTGCGCGCACGCGCTAACAATAGCTCTGATTCTTTCTGACCTTCCCCAGCAGTGAAGCAACACACGAATTTGTATCTCAAGGAGTTTTCCAGCTCACCGTGGCAGGCTCTGATGGGAGGGGAGGGGTGGGGCACCCGCAGGCAGGGGAAGCCAAGTGCACGGAATAGCACCGTGTAAAGACGCCAGGAAGATGGGCCTGCGCTGAACAGCTCCTGCCAGTGGGGATGGCTGCCTGCGGTCCCTCCTGCAGAGCTTCATTCATAATCCAAGAAGAAGGCAGGTGACCTCCTTCCAGACGCTGATGCCAAAGTCCTTGGGGCTCCTCCTGCCAGGAGCAAATCCCTACCAGTGCCCTTTAGCGTTAGTCACACTAGGATGCCCAAGGGTCAGGCCCCAATAACCACCATACAAGGCCCACTTACCGGACACCAAGTACAGCAGGGGTGGGAAAGGTCAGGGCTGTATGAGGCCCGCGAAACCATGTGGTCTGGCCCTGCCAAGGCATCAGGGGTGAGTTAATGAAATGTTTGGCCACATATAGCAGGCTCATTCTTAAGGTGGTGATTTTGTATGGCCCTCGAATGATGCTATAAATATCCAATTTTGACCACATATAGCAGGCTCATTCTTAAGGTGGTAATTTTGTATGGCCCTGGAATGATGCTATAAATATCCAATGGCCCTGGGCAGAGAAAACGTTCCCCACCCCTTCTATCACATCCGCTCCCCCTCTCTGTGTGTAACCTGCATGTGACTGTATTGGCCACTGAGTGTCAAGTGCCTTTCATGGTCATCCCCAATAGCCTTCCCAACTGCCCTCTGTGATAGGCATGAATACCCCCACTTCACAGATGAGGAAACTGAGGCTCAGAGAGGTCTGACGTGCTCAAGGGGAAATGCCATGGGAATCATGACACGGATATACTACATGCCACTGCCCACACTGGTAATTACCATGTTCTACTGCCCCCTCCGAATCACAGCTGCAAGGGGTCAGCATCAGAGAAGGACAGACATGGGGTGGTGGAAACGCAGAAGAATTCGTGACCAGCTCAGCAATCTGGGCAGGCGTCAGGGGGGAGGGGCCAGAACCTGAAGGCCGGGTCAGATCTGACATGTGGAGCCTGTGACGTGGGCATTCAGGAAGAGCAAATGCTCGGGGCGGGGAGAGCATGGGGAAGGTTCGGAGCGCTTGAAGCCATCCTCTTAGGCTCAGGTGCTGGGCACCTGGGGAAGTGAGGGGGAGAGGGGACGAGAAAGGTGGGTTGGGGCCACACTGTAGAGAGTGAGGTGGGGAAGGCCAGGCCATGGGCCCAGGGCCCAGCCCCGGGTGCTGGGGTGTCCTTTGCTGGAGGACAAGACCTGTGGGGCATGGTTAAGCCTCGGACTAATGAAAGGACAGGGTCCTCTCATTGCCACGAGCAAGTCCCAGCTGGAGGGCAGGGCCCTCCCAGCACAATTATAGCCAACGGCTGTGGTTGTAAGCTTGAACCTGTGGTCCGAACACGTGGACCCACGTGCTTTGTGATAGAGTTCAGGTGCATGTAGTTGAGTGAGGTTGAAACTCACGAGAATGCTGTAAACAACGTGATCACACCCCTACTTTGCCTCGAGGCATCTGCTATAAAATAAAGACACGGCTTGTGGGCGCTGCTTCCTCATCAGGGAGCAGCGTCCCACCGAGACCCAGCTATTATTCTCTTGTCTGTCTTTCCTTAATCCTTTCAGCCCCCCACTCGGGATCACCCTTGGTCGTGCTGGCGTGGCACAAAGACCCTCTTTTCCAAACCTGTGAGGCCATAGCAGCCATCCCCCGACCCTTCCCCCAGACGCCTGGACACCAGGTAAGACAGGTGCAGGGAGACGAAGCCAAGTCATTTCAGACAGAACTTGTTCACCCCCCCACCTCTGAGGCGGCCCCCGAAAGGCCTGCTCACACTTTTAACTCAGACCCAGCTTGAAAGCAGCTGGACTCTACACGTTTTCTCTCTTCCAATGGGGTTTTAGAGAGAGAGCTCAGGAAGGAGCCTGATTGGCCATAGATAAAAGAGATAACATGTCCCCTGCTTGTTGGAGCTGGAGTTGAGGAAAGATTCCATTCCGCATACACTGAGGCTCTGGGTAAGACTGTTTGTTGTTTAAAAGCTTCACTACTAAAAACGGTTTTTAAAAATTTTTTTTAATCCCCCAGATGGTCCAGCCCTCTCATTGAGTGAGGAATCACAGGCCCAGAGATGGCTTGGAAGTCACTTGAGGCCACACAGCATAGAGTGATGAGTCAATCCAGCCGGGGGCCCAGGGTTGCTGCAAACCAGCCCAGTGCCCTTCCACACCGCAAGGTTGGCTCAGTTTGGAGCTGCCGTGGCCTGGGGCAGGGAGAAGAGTGGGCCAGGGGCTCAGGGCTTAGTGCGATGCAACACGAGGGTTCCTAGAAGCCCCAGCTCATGCAGGGTCCTCCTCCTGGGGACCCCAAATGCCTTGGATGTGGGCTCAACCAGGGCTAAGCCTGAGACCAGTCCCCAGGCAATGCCCCCACCAGCCCTTTCCTCCTCACCTGCACCCATGTGACCGCTCTGACTCAGTCATTCCTCCACCGAGTGAAGCCTTACAGCAGCCGTGGGCAAACTACGGCCCGGCCCGCGGGCCGGATCCAGCCCGTTTGAAATGAATAAAACTAAAAAAAAAAAAGACCGTACCCTTTTATGTAATGATGTTTACTTTGAATTTATATTAGTTCACACAAACACTCCATCCATGCTTTTGTTCCGGCCCTCCCGTCCAGTTTAAGAACCCATTGTGGCCCTCGAGTCAAAAAGTTTGCCCACCCCTGCCTTACAGCCTGGAATGAGCACCAGCTGAGGAGTCAGGAGTCTGGGGATCCAGCCCAGCCAGGCCTCTTCCTCGCTGAGCCCCATGGACTGCTCTGTCACCTCTCTGGCTTCCTCGGCTGTAAAAAACAAAGAGCAGAAACTCTCCAAAAATAGGGGCGAGGGGCATGCAATGGCCCCCCTGCAGTCACATGCACGGTGCATTCAAAACCAGCTCCGAGTCAGGCTGCCTGGGATTGACTCCCCCTGCGTGCTGTGAGTTTACCTCCCTACCTAGATGTGAGAAAGTTAAGACAGATAATGAAGGCTGAGAGGTTAGGACAGTGCCCGATACACAGTAAGTGCTCAGTAAAAATTAGCTCTTAGTGTGATTGCTCCTTGAGCCTCCATTGACCTCACACTCCCCACCTAGTCAACAGATGCACTCGGAAGACACAGGCCTTTGTTTGCCCAGGAGCCTCGCCTGGTGCCCGAGACAGGGGCGTGGGAGGGGGGTGGGGAATAGCTTCCGGCCTGCTCCTGGAGGTATTAATACCTGCAAAATGGGCACATGCAGTGCACTGAGCCCCCTTCCCCACGCACCTCTCCCCCACCTAGTGCACCTCCTCCAGAGGCCAAGGGCGGGTGACTACATCTTTGAATGAAACATAGTCCTGTTTGATGTTTAGTCATAATGAGCTTGTATGCCCGCTGAGTCACCAGCCCTGGTTCGCGCTCTGTGCCTCATCTGTGACCATACAATTCCCGAGGCCCAGACTCAACAATCCTGGAAGTTCATTTATTCAACAAACATTAATGGTGCCTGGCAACCTACTGATTCGTGAGTTGGAAGGGGATGAAATATCACTTAGAAGCCACACAAGGGCAGGCAGTTGATGTGTTGGACACACGTTCCCTACGTGCCTATTCTCTGCTCTCAGTCAACTGCACTTCTATGGCGCTGCTGATGAATGAATGAGGGCCAGCTAATCTTTCAGAAGGCCTCGATTTGCAGTTCTGGTTACAAACGAAGCCTTTACAAAGGAAAACCTCTCTTTCCGGAGGGTGCTCCTTCCTTACTTAAAAGCTTTCTGTGTCTTTAAAAGGGGGCGGTACCCTGTCAGATGGACCCTAACGCATAGGCTGAAGGCACATGAAGGCCCACCCACTTTCTGTGACGTTCTGTGCGCCGGCCTCTGATTGCCCGCCTCAGACGTCAATCGCGGGGCGTGTGTCTCGCTGGGACACAGCGTAGGTCTGGCCTCTGGTTTGTGGAGCGGTCGGGTGTATTCTCCTCCCTCTCCCCCCAGCCCTCCAGGCCCCTGCCGCCCGAACCAACGGCGTAGCCAGCCGGTGGCTCCGCGGCG